GCAGCCAGACAAGGCTTCTGCTCACTCTTACCATCAATGAGCACTGTGGATGTAGCCCTTTGGTGTCAGTCCCTTATTGGAAAGCTGGGTGATTCTCTCATCTCCCTGCTGACTGTTTCTTTGAAAAGTCTCTCAATCGATAGCTTCCTTCTTACTTCTTTCATTAACATAGAGATATCTCTGAATTCTACTCATAGGTAAATGGCAGTCTTCAAATCCAAATGGTTCAGACTGCAATAGACAATGTTGCAGCCCTCAGTGTTGTCACTGTAGGAAAGCACAAGACTTTCTTTACTATGTAAAGTGAACACTCTGAGCTTGTTTTTGTGTTCAGAAAAGGATGCACCCTGGATTTCAGAAAGTCTTGTGCTATGCAGTGGTGGCATCCTAACTATTGCAGAACTAAAACAGGATAGAGTTCTCTTTAACTGTCTAAATTTGGAGGTGGCCTGCAAATGCTCACAAAGGAGGACAGTTACAATCAACTGTGCTTTAATTTTAGACCTGCTTTTTCACCTTACCAAATCCTTCAAACCTTCCGAAAGGAAACAGGAGACATTTGAACTTGAGCACCACTGCAAACTTCAAAGGAACTATTTATTATAGCTTTTAAAAATATATATATAAATCAGTTCAATACATTTTCTTCCTATTTACAAAAGATTTCATCAGTACAAATAGAAGAAGGAAGAACAGAAATCTTTGAGCTAAAGAAACCGCTACCTTATTCAAGCTATTCAGTTCTGCTGTGCTCTTTAGTTCTCACAGAGGTACGTGTTTCCCAGTTTGCCCTAGGGAATTAGCATGGGTATTCAGTCTTTCTTTCTTTCTTTTACTAATTCTTGCTGCTGAAACAAGCCTTCCTAGCATTAAGGTTATGGTGAGTGCTCTCATCTAAGGAACAGTGCATCCAAAAACCAAGGCATCTTTTACTTACAAAGAAATAATAATTTTACTCACGTGGGCCACAATTTGTTCATCACATGCATTTATAGAAGACTCCAAAAATCCCTCAGTTGTGAGGGGAAAAAAAAAAAGTCTGTAGCAAAAGTTATGGATCCATGTTTGTTTTCTTTTTAAATGGCATTACTGGAACACAGGAAAAATTATCTTTCTATTCCTTGTACAGCTGTGGTGATATGCCTGAAAGACCAGAAACGAACAAGTTTGACTGGGGCCATCTTACATCAGTTTCTTAACGTCTAGAGGATGTAGTAGTATATATTGGGATTCAACAAATGACACAAAGTGGTGTCCCCATGGAGAAAGTAGGACTACGACTCTTGATGCCTGCAGCCACGTTAGTCCCTGCATCCTGAAGTCAATAAAATGAAGTGTAGAGGTAGACACCAATTCATCTCAGACCACAACACTGACTCAGATCATTGCAACAAAACTTGAAGCTCAAACTCAAACCTGAGAGTCTTGTCTGCGGAATCCGAAGGGATTATATGACCCTCATATATTCTAACATGGTAGATTTATACTGGCAGGAGTTCATGCGTTTCATCCCACCATATGTTGTGTTTCACTTGCGTGTTTCTTGGCTGGTGCATTTTACCAGTAAAAATACTGTTTTGTGACCAGTAGAAAGTTGTTATATTTATTACCAATAAAACTTGGTCGCATTTCAAAAGGAGATGAAGAGTTAGTGGTAAGGTCTCTTTTTGCACGTGTTATCGGTTTGATAAGTAGATCACAGCAACTCTTTTCAAAATCAGTTTGATAGAATGGCACACTGGATTCCTTGCAAACATTTAGCTTTAAGAAAACAGTTCTGCATGCAAACTGAGTAAACATTTGTCCCACTTGAAAGTCTCTTTTAACAAGGCCTTCAGTACAATACTGGTGGATAAAATGAAAGCATTTTAATTCTGGGAGTGTAAAAATATAGAGAATATACTTTGCTCTGAGAACTCAGATGTAATTTATTTGTTGTGTGTATATTACTTTTGGTAGTGTCATGATTGCATAACTTAGACATGTTTGGCTGAATTTGTTTCAATATGTTTTCAGAGAGGTACACTGTAAACAACTCTGTTCCAGTATTCTGATTTTTTGAGGCCAAAGAAATTATTTCTTACTTTTAATGCAATTGATTATATATTTTTTCAGAGAAAAACAACAAATACATATGCAATACATATCCATACAGATATGAAGAATCTTCTGGTTTATATAAAAGAAAGGTTATCCCTAAGATTCAAAGCTTTCATTGTCATCATTAACAGCTTTATTTTCTGAGGTTATCATCAGAGAGGGAGATTCTAGTCTTCAGCGCTTAGTGGGGTGCACATGGGAAAGGTTTTAGCTAGAATTCAAAGTTTTTCAATGCTGCAAATTTGTGATGTCTCACATTGCCCTGCCTGGCTACAATTTTAAATATGTTCACTTGATTGCTTCTCTAAACTCATATTTAATGATGGAGCTGGGAATCAAGTGTTTGATTACTAATATCAGTGGCATCTATACTAGCTTTGCCTTCTAGATTATTTTCAGCCTGAACTGTTCTGGATGGGAATAAACCTTCTGAAAGCTGGAGGAATAACCATATCCTTAATCGAGACAATTACAAGAAACAGTTCAGTTTTGCCAACTAATTGGTTGAATTAATATACCCAGGTCCATGCAACCACCTAAAACAAAGGCATGTGTGGTCAGAAGGATTTATTTGCTTGTTGTTTTGCCGAGGATTGTACAACTGTGAAGAAAAACAGAAAACAAAGAGAAACCTTAAGGGAAGAAAGCAGGAAATCAGAACTCACAAAAATGTGTGAAGCAAAGATCTGAACTAGAGTTCTTTGAGCCAGGCACTGTCATTAAAAGTCGGAACAATAAAGTCCACCACAGCTTGTGGTGACTGAGGAAAACAAAGTTGATGCGTTCCTTGCAACTACCTTGAGAAACATCACTAGTCTCTTCTAAGTGCCAGTGGTACAAACATAGAGCAGTTTTTGAGTAAAAATGGAGTACTATTCGTGGTGAAGAAAATTAGTGACATCATAGCAGTGTTTGTAGAAAAGAGTGTCAGACCTATACCAAGCAGTGAAACAAAGAATTTCAGAATGACAGAGGAATGACTCTCAATTAGAGGGAAAATCCATGTCAAGAGAGAGGAGAAAAATGTGTGAATGAGTAGGGAAATACATAGTTATTCAACATGGGGGAGTAATTTGTAATTTGTAAAAAAAAAAAACAACAAACTGCTGTGTTTTATGAACAGACAAATACTAACATCATAACCAAAGACCAGACAATTTGGATGAAATTTTGAGCAGTTTGAGTGTTGTGATGGGCTAAAGAAAGGACTAAATGAGCAAAAAAAAAAAAAAAAAAAAAGTTTTGGATATAAATGGAAAGCCATGGATCAGACTCCATGTAATCTGTTTGAGAGGGTGACTGCATCAGACAGGACACTTAAATGCTTTTTGTCCCTATTAACTACCTGAAAAACTCCAGTGAGGAGTCGCCATGTTGTCTCAGCTCATTCACATCAGCTGGTGCAACTCTGAATTCTGTCAACTTTACTGCAGAACTGAAGTCATTAATTACAGCAGCGCGCAGGAGAATGAAGCTTGTGTATGGAAACTTTGTTAAGTTATTCCATCAGGTCCTGGTCCAAAGAAATAAAACATGATACATCACACAACCCATATAATTACTGTGAATAGAATTTCAGCTTGTCAGTGTTTGGGAACTGTGGAATTCAAGGCTGGTAAAAGAATATTAAGTAATGAATGTCTGTAGTGAAAAGTATTTCAACAGGAGCAATAATATTTCTCAGAAGATAAAAAAAAAAAACAACAGTTACATCCCAAAGCCATCCCCTTTGAATTGCTACATGGAGATTGAGCAAAGAAAAATTCTAGGAATGTCTAAGAAAAAAAAAGCTTTAAATTGATGTGAAAATCATCACTTACTCTCAGTAGTTAAAATACCATTGAGTCTCACTAGTTAATTATTTTCCTTTTGTCCACCCTCTCCTTTTTTTCAGTGCCAGTATTTTAGAATTTGTTGGCTTGAAAACTGAAACTGGGATATAGATAGAATTTGTATCTTAAACTGAACTTCATTGCAGTTTCCTTTGGAAGGTGCTCAGAATAATCCTTCTACAAGTATGTGATGAAGACAGGAGTAAGGAATTCCCATATCACCTATAACAATAATTTCCTGTAGTGTAGTTTGAGCACCTATAAAAGAGAGGTAGAAGGGGGGGGGGGGGAGGGAGATGAAAAAAAAATTTGGTAAAAACAGAGACAAAAAAAGCAAAAGAAATGGTCAACACATCATATCCCCTTGAGAAAAGCTAAGAGTGAAGACTACATGCTGGTAGAAAAGGGACTTGGATCTGGTATTAAGATGCTGTCTTTGCATCTTGGGATATAATAATTTGTTGTTTCTCTTTAGGCAGTCAGGCTTGTATCAAAAAATACTGAATCTGGTACATTGTTTTCTGCAAGTGAGAAAGCTGAGAATCGATCTGGTTATTCTCGCAGATTGGGAAGGAGCAGGTCTAAAAGTGTCCAAAAACAAAAATAGCCTCCTTGAACATCAGAAATCAGATGTGAGGAAAAAAGTTTTTGATCTTCAGCCATAGGTTATCTTTCCCTCTGCAATTTGCAGTTACTGACACTTTCCTATACTTTGATTTGGTGTTTCAGAGCTGTCAGGCTGTCTATGTCCCTATTTCTTTTCTGCCTATTTGGGTTGTTCATCTCTTCCAGTAACCTGAAGAGAAATGCTGAGCTGACAGAGGGTAGCACAGCATAGTCAGTGCTGTGCTGCCAGAACACCCAAGGCAAATAGGATATAAAATCTAACTTCCTTCACTGATTGAAGCAACTCTCAAAGGACACTGTGAATCCTGCTATAGTTTGGAGCTTGTGTGGTTCATGGGAGAGTAAGCAAAACAGAAGATTTGAATTCTTTTGTGCCTTTTTCATCCTCTTTTTGTTTCTTTGCACAGATCTTCTGCTGGTTCCTGGTGTAGAAGAAATCACAGAATTGTAGGGGTTGGAAGGGACCTCCAGAGTTCATCGCGTCCAACCCCCCTGCCAAAGCAGGTTCCCTACAGCAGGTCGCACAGGTAGGCATCCAGGCAGGTCTTGAACATCTCCAGAGAAGGAGACTCCACCACCTCCCTGGGCAGCATTGTGATGCTTGATGACTTCTGTGCAGATCTCATCACCGTTTCCTGTTATTTTGCAAAGGTAAGAAAATTTGGGAAAGTGGTTCACCATTGCCTGTACTTTTTTTCAGCTAAGATCTATTCTGTGTGCAGCATATTATGTTATTTAATGTACATTATTTTAGTATCTTTTTACATGTGTTTTAGGCAGGCGGATATAGAAGAATTTTTACTTTCTTATTCGGACGCAGTTTCTTTCGTTGCTGGAATATCACGAAAAGGTACAAAGGTGGAAGTAAAACAGAATATAGTTATTGATATAAAGATACCTTCAGGTCTTAACATTTAGGAATGTAGGCAGTTCTATATCTATGCTTACTAGACATTGTAAGCTCATCTTACAGACTCATTTTAAAACTCTCCTTCACAAAATTCTTCCGTTAGTTATGGAACTGGTTTTTAAATATCTTACAGTTACTCAGTAAATAGCCCACAAGAAGACCTCCATGATAATGTGTCTTCATGTGGGATTTGCATCTCTCTGTTTCCATTTAATGTCATATTTAGCTTACAAATCTTTTGTCCAATTCAGATTGAATGCTTATTTCATCTTATTTTCCGACTGTGCTGTGTCAGGGACGAATTCTAGGATGTGAAGAGCACAAGGGCAGATCTTACCACGATTATCATTATTTGTGTTTGTCAAGTGCATTTAAATCTTCCCATTGTTCTGTCATCTCTGGGATGTGAAAAAAAAACTTTGAAGCTTACCCCTTTGTTCAAAATTAACTTTGTGCTGTGGAATCTTGTAAAAGTTTTGAATCCCTCATTAATCCCTATCTAGACTTGCATTTTTCCATATAGGACCACATCATGAAAATAACAGTCATTTAAATAGGATGGAAAAGCAGAACGTAGCAGCTATAGATTTGAATGTCTGATGTGACTGTTTTTGTTTTTTTCCCCAAATTGTTAAAATATATTTAACCTTGAACTAGAACTTACTGTAGAAATCTTAGCTAAAGAAGAGTATTTGGTAAAGACCCAGTGCTGAATTTTTCCATGTCATGTGTTTGGTCAATACCACAAACTCAGCTCTCTGGTAGTACTCGAGTACTATTTTAGGAGAGGATTTATCCTGTTTAATGTTAAACAGATATATACTGCTAAAGCCAATGCAAATGCCACTGTATCAACATTCATTTGAATGATGAGATCAAAACTTTTTTTTTTTAATTAAATAAATTCAAAATAGCCTTGTAACATGTAGGTCTGTTGGTATATTTAAAGTAACTTACAACTTCAGGTTTCCTGAGTGGTCATGGAAAAAGTGTAAGTGATACTGGTTGATCACATAATAAAAATAAATATATGCTAGTTACAAAATAAATGAGTTTTTTGATCCCTGTATACCACAAAAATAGTAGTGTAGCCTTTTATGAGCAACTGCTAAAAGAGTCATGAAGGTGCTGTGCTTTCTTCATAGACACAGAATTGGTATGTGTGCAGTGTTATGATCTGGAGGGTAGGTCACTTAGATAGGATTCTATTGCAAGTTAGAATGAAAATACTAGTAATTAAAATTACTTTTTTATGAAGAGAAAAACGTGAAAGCTGTTGACATAATTATTACATGGAACTAAATTACATTGTAATGTGCCTTATCTCATCTCATGTCTCTCTTACGACGCATAATAATTCTAAAAGATCTATAAGTAAGCAATATATGTTGGATTATATTACACATTGTATAAAAATGCCTGTGTTAATGCCTGCCATACAGTCACCGTTGTTAGTTTCTTCTAATAGTATTTTGAGGACTTGCTCACTTCCAGTTCCAACACAAGCTGTCCCTGCTCCATCAGCGTCCTCTCCTTCTCCTCTGGTTCTTACTGGGAGGCTTCAGGATGCTCTCTCGGTATCTCACATTTGTGTGGAACAGTCGGACCATTTCATGGTCTTTGCTATCCAATACTCTGGGCAGAAAGAGAGAGGATTTCTGTGTCCTGCGTGTTTTAAAGCCCCTTCTGGGTCGTCCTTTCCCATTGACTGAGACGTACCAGAGTCTCTCTGCACTGGCTTTGCGCTTGGTGCTGGCTCCGCTGGGTACAGTCCGGTATAGACGGGATGCATAGGTGTTATAGCCCAGTTCATGAATCCTCTCCACAAACTCACATTCTGTGTTATAGTTCTCCTGGAAAACAAACGTGACAATGATTAAGAAAGACTATTCAGGTAATAGCTCTCTTACCCCTACCAGATTGAACTAAAGTCAAAGCAGGATTCTAATCAGTTATAGGCAAAAGTTAGAGCCACATTTGACATGAAATAGCCTGTAGTTTAGCATGGCTCTTTAATTGGTATACCATTATCTAGATATACCCAGAGTCTGATAATCCAATTTATTGCAATGCTTTGAGCTGTAAACAACATGTTTATGAAACCTCTTTATTTCAGCATCACAAAATGGAAGTCCCGTGTCCACTTGTGTTGCTCTGAAATGCTAGGCTGCTCCATTATCACAAGCTATAATGAAGAGTACACGTCCATCCTGACTGCTCACATTTCACAGGATCTGTAAAAACTCTCCAACTTTCTCCCAGCTGAGAATAAGTGGAAGGCAATACAAGAGCCTGGCATGAGGAACGCCTTCCCCCTCTGTGGGAGCAGTTGGAGCAGTGCAGATAAGGGACCTCCCACACTGTACATCTTCATTTTCTTAACTACAGAACCACTTCTGCTGCATGGTGCGATGAAGACCTCAGCATCTTAACACGTGTAAGGCATAGAGGAACTGCTGTCATGGTCTCTGTGAAAGTTTTCCCTCAGAAATGCCTCTATGGAGGATGTGCAGAGGGCACAGATGGCTGGACTGGACCATAAAAGCTGTAGGCTCCATTAGCAGCATGCCTTTAATGCTGTTCACTCCCCAGAAATTCTGATAGGCATTTAACATGATTTTAAAAGACTCCACATGTCTCAGTTTCACAGCTGTAAAACGGAAGTGCCCTTCCTTGTGAGGACAAGGTTTTCATATGCTGTGGTGCTGGAGCCCATGCAACTGCCATATGTAGGTGGATTCCTGTTGCTATCTCCCTCAGATCTGTCTGTAGAGGGTTTATCACAGAGGATAAACCTTGAGGATTATCACAATCTGCTACAGGACATAAAGGAGTCCTGCAGATTAAACAAGCTCAATTTATTGACACAGGGACGTTTGTGAACCAAGGGATAACTGAATTATTCCAGTTCCTTTCTGTAGAGGCTCCCTGTCTCATTATCCCCAGACAAGTCAGACTTATTTCAAAAAGAGCACCTGTGCAGGCTCCGGGCATGGTGACACATGTGAAATAGTTGGTCAGCTTTTCTAGGCAAGAAAACCTAAAACCTTTCTCCTAAGCTTAGCCTTCTTCCTTTGCTTTTGTCGTGACAAAAGCACAAATGGAAGAACCATTTCCTGAACTGTCCCTCCAGCTTTGAAACAGACTGTCTCAAACATGAGATGGAAAAGCAAATTATCTTTTTGGGTTGTACAGGAACTATAGCTGATGTTCTTTGGTATACAATGGCAAAACAAACTTCAGGGTGATGTAATTTTTCTCAGGCTGCAGAGAGAAGTCCTAGAAAAAAGACTTTTCTGGTTTTTCTCCGCTATATGATAGGGTCTGTTTGTTCAGAATTTGTTCACTCTGATTTTAATTCAGTTAAATTAACCTGGAGGAATACCTATTTTGAACAAGAAAGAGATAAAGATAAAAAAAGAACTTGAGAATTCATCCTTTCCTTTCATATCTTTGGGGCTGACTCTGGCTGACAGAGGAGATCCATTGAAAAATATGCCCATATTTAACGAGAATATTAGCTGAAGGCACAGCAGCAGACTTAGCTCTGTCACAGCAGATCCAATATGCCCTGGTCCTACTTCAGATGCACTTTCCTTCGCCAAAATTATTTGTTGCCTGGTTTTCTGGGCCAGCAAAGAACCATCATATTTAAACAGAGCCCCTTTATTTAACGGGTGTCACATGGGGCACGTTGCAAAATCTGGGTTATAAATACTATCAGGATGACACTCTTGGAAAGGCAGAGTAAAAGACATAAGAACAGGGAGGTGATCAAGTTGATTGTGTTAAGTAGGTTGCATTCACAAGGAAAAGTCTCATGTGACTTGAGGATGTGTTATGCTGTTCAAATCAACAGAATTACGTAGAATTACTGTTTGGAGGAAGGAAATCTCACAGAGCTGTGTTTCACCCTCTTCAAATCTGCTTTTCTACCTCAGGGTTCCTAGAGAAACTGCACCAGTGCGTATGTTACACAGTTGCAGATCACAAGATTGCTGGGGGTGTAATCAAAGATGCTGGAAGAAATTCAAGTAGATAGATAATGTGCATAGTATACACAGTGGCTAACACACCTTCTTGTGTCCCCGAGTGTAAAGAAGTCTGAGCAGGAGTATTTTATTCACTGAGTGGAAACACTGGCTGGGCTGAAAAGGCAAGACTCCTGTTAATGGCAGCAGAGCTCAGATATTGCTTCAGAGGTCAGGACAGATGTCAAGGGAGTGCGATAAGGTGTTTATTTTCACCTTTATCTTCTTACAACTTTCAACGCTCCCTTTCCTTGCTATAGCTCTGGTTTTTAGCCCGTTAATTCTTTCACTGCCCAACTGCTCTGTGTGGAGGAACTCTCATCAGTAGGTTGGTTTCCTGCAGCAGAGATGCTCAATTGCTTCTGGATATACTTAATCTGACATTTATATCACCAGCCAGCAGCCAAAGCAGATGTTGAATACAAATACGACAGCATTCAGGATAGTGATACACATCCTGCACTGCAAGGTTGGCCCCAGAAAGTTTATCAGTGTATCCATTGCCCAAGAAATTTGGCCACATGGAATACTTTTGCTGAATACACTCTTTTGCTTTTGGCTGTAAATGCAATTAGAAAGTAAGAGTGCAGCTTCTTTCTGCTTCTTAAAAGTGTACTGCTCACTTACTCGTAATGATTCTAGAGAGAAAACTGTTAAGACATTAAATCTTATCTCTGTAAACATTCATCTGTAAGAAATCCGTGTTCCCC